TACAGAAGAAGCAGGCATTCATCTGCTCTCAGAAAGTCTCTGCAGCAACTATGGCCACCTTCGTGGAGCTCAGTACCAAAGCCAAGATGCCCATCGTGGGCCTGGGCACCTGGAAGGTGAGTGTGACATCTTGGGCCACCTGCTTCTCTTGAGGAGGGACCTTGGCATTTTCCTTTCATTTTACAGCACTTGTGTTGGGTTTGGAAGCCCAGAGCTGTCACCCAGTGTCCTTTATTTGGGGCTTCTTTGGGCTACAGAGAACTAAGATGAGCCTTTCTCGGAAATGAGGATAGTTTCCCTGGCAAGTTAGAACTTTTCTTTGGAAAGAAAATTGTTTTTAGTGCAGTCATTGTCTTAGCAAGCATTTCTTTGAGACTCACTGTTGGTTTGTTACTGGCTGAGTGACTGAGAGAGGAGAGAGTTTTGAAGGACCAGGCTCCCCCTGCTGCTCATGACGCTAAACTCCTTGCAGGCATCCAAGTGGAGAGGGGGTCTGGGGGAGAGGCAAAGTCTCAGACCCCAGCCCAGGTTACTGAACTGGCACCTGCCCTTCACCAAGACTCCACGTGATTTCCTGACAGCAAAGTAAACTCTGAGTGTCCTGAGGACCACAGAGCCTGCACTGGAAGTCAGCTCAGGCTCCGTCCTGCCTGTGTTAATCTCTCCTGCCACATTGTTCCATGGTTCATCCCAGAGTGCTCCATGAAGCCAATTTCCAAGCCTCTCCTCAGACAAGTCTGACATTGTTCCATCTTGTATCTCTGCCTTCTTTGCCTTCCCCTCAGCCACAACAGGACAGTAGCCAGCTTGTTCATAGGAGCTGTTTTTAGTTAGGAGTTTGATTTCTTGAGACAGGGTCTCACTCTAAACCTAAACTGGCCTTGGGCAAACTGGGAGCAGCCCTCCTGCCTCAGCTTCTTGAACCCTGGGACTACAGTGTAGACATCATCCCTGGATCATGTGCTGCTTTGGAACCCTTCTCTCCTGTCTCAGAGACCCCTCTCCAGGCTTCCTCCTCTGTCCCTTTGTTCCTCTTTGCACAGAGGGTAGGATTCTGCTTTGTGTTGGTGCTGCACTGAAATCTTTCTAGAACAGCGAGACTTGAACCAAATTAGAAATTTCACATTCCATCAAAGAAACAAACAATCACAACTCTCCAGGGAATCTACTCAGCCTGGATAAATTTAGGAGAGATGGACACTGAGAATTTGAAAAGCAGTTGTAACTATTGTAAGGAGCTGTTTTCGAGGTTAAAGCACGGTGCTGTGGAGCAATCCTTCTGTACACTGTGAAGATGTGCTGCTCTCGTGGTGAATGAAAAGCTAATTGGCTGATGGCTAGACAGGATCTTGGGGGCAGAGAGGATGCTGGGAGGAAGAATAGAAATGGGTTAATTTAAGTTGTGACAGCTGGCTGGAGACTAGCCTAAGCTATCGGCCAAGAATCTATCATTAATTGTAAGTTTTTGTGTGGTTATTTAGAAGCAGCTGGGGGACTGAAACTTCTGCCTACACGATTGTAGGGACACTCAGCTTATGAGTGGACATGCAGGAGGGTGGGGTTTTGGGGCTGGACCCCAGGGCTTCTGAGTTTCTGGCAATTCCTTGTCTCCATGATGGCACATCTGTTCACCTCTGCTTTACGTGTAATGCTTTATCAAGGTTTGATATTAAAAAATAATTTTTAGATTTTGGGAGAGATGAAGAGTTCATTTTGATTGTTTGAGAGAGTCTCATGTAGCCCAGATTGGCTTATAATTCCTTATATGGCTGAGACTGGTTTTGAATTTTTTATTCTCCTACCCTCTTTCCTCCCAAATGCTAAGATTGCAGATGCAGGCCTCCACATCTGGCAGGATTTTGTTTTCTCTTGAATGAGGTGGTAATGTGCCCCAGGCTGGCCTCAAAGTCATGACCCTCCTGCCTTGAGCCTCCCCGAGTGGGATTGGAGGCCTGCAGCTCTATGCTCTGAAGGGAGATGAGTGCAGAGTGTCATTTCCCTCCACCAGTGTCGGGCTTGGCTAGGTTAGATCAGAAGGTGATAGTTCAACCATTCTTTTCTCTTTTTTTGTTTTCTTTTGCTTATAGGTGGGAGAACAATCGGTTGTTACAGTTTTATTCATTCCTGTTCTGAAACAGTGATTACATACTGGTTGCATCCACCCAGCCTTACTAAGTGCCAGGGGATCTGCTAAAACCTTCACAATCCTGTGGCAAGCAAGGGACACAAAGACCTCATGAGGCAGGACCCATTATTGTAGCTATACTTCTTTGTCAAAGTTTAGAGAAATTGAGGAATCCCTTATCCTCATAGGGCACCATAGCAGAGTAGATTAGCTTGTCATGACCGTTTTGAGACCATTCTTTCTGGAGTCTGAAATACCTCTGGGATGTCTCAGAATCTAGTTTTCAGAGTGGCCTTCAGCAAGTTGCAATGGGAGCTGTCTGTCCCTCTCTGAACCTGGAGGCACTTCAGATCAACCTGGATCAGAGGACAACTAGTTACTGACTAGAACAGGACATGGTTTGATGATCACTACAGTGACATATGCTTTAAGTTGCCATGTTAAACCACATTGCTTTGTCAAGAGAAAAACCAAATGAAATTTAAAAAAATATTAATTCACATTATCTTTTTCTTTGAAAACTTGCCCAATGTATGTTTTCCTCTCTCTTGTCTACTTGGAAGTAAGGCTTCAACAAGACCATGATTTTGAGAATATGTTCTATGTGGAACCTTTAAGAGGGGGCCTTGGGGTGTGTCTAGCTGTCTTTTCTACTGCTTTTCAGTCTCCACCAGGCAAAGTCAAGGAAGCTGTGAAGGCCGCCATTGATGCTGGGTATCGCCACATTGACTGCGCCTATGCCTATCAGAATGAGAATGAAGTGGGGGAAGCCATCCAGGAGAAGATCAAGGAGAAGGCCGTGAAGCGGGAGGACCTCTTCATTGTCAGCAAGGTAGAGTGGTTCCCTTGGTGGACGTGACTTCAGGCAGGTGGAAGTATCTGGGTATGACTGGCTTCAAGAGCTTATCAGTTATCCGTATGTGCCTGCCTGTCTCCCAGCCCTTTTCTCCTGCCTTCATTAAATCACTAGACAGATTTCAACACACAAAAAAAGCACCAAAGGTTGGAGTGGCCACACCTATATGTACTCATTGTCATCAATCACGGGCCTGATTGGCCTGGGGATAAAGAAGTGCTAAAAGGGCCAGCTGTTTCTAATTGCACCCTAATGCTTGAGCGTTAAGTACCACCAAATCATGCCTGCCCTCTGAGAAACCAGAGCCAAGGATGAATAACATAGGAATATAAAATTTTAGTCAGCGACCAACTATGTTAAATGACCAAAGAAACAAATTGAATTCCAAGAGCACAGAACACTTAGGAAATGACCTTGACCTGATGAGAGCTGATGTAACTGCCTGTTAAGTGTCAAACCCCAGACAAACAGCGGAGGTGTTTGATATTAATATATAAATGTGGACCTGGCGACTAGATTCCCGCAGCATCTCATAGTCCCTAGCTGTTACAGGGTATGTCTGGAATACCCTACCCTCTACCATTGAACTCTCCAGCCCAGGGGCTGGGCTGCTCTTCCCCCAGAGGCTCTTCCCTACATAATCCAGACACTTTGGTTACCTGTCCCCTTTGTACTTTGCACCTCACTTCTGCCCTCTTACCTCACCCCATCCCATAGCCCACCTCAGTCCGGTCATGTCCATTCTGGACTCTCCCAGATGTTTCTGCCTCTGGACATGGTCTCCCCTTTATCCACAATTAACTTCCTCCTCCACCACACCTGGGAGCCTAAATGTCCTTCCTCTCCTTTTTCTTTGTTTCCATTCAGTACTGGGCTGCATTTGCCTGGCCAGGGTTTATACATCTCAAAGCAGCAAGGGTGGCTGTGGCATGGGTCTTCCTCTCCCCAGTCCTAACGCCCCTCTCTCACATCTGCAGCTGTGGCCCACCTTCTTCGAGAAAAGCCTGGTGAAGAAATGCTTTCAGAAAACCCTCTCGGATCTGAAACTGGACTACCTGGACCTGTATCTAGTTCACTGGCCACAGGGATTCCAGGTTTGAGCTTCTCTTTGCATTGTCTCTACTTTCTGGGAGATAGCACAAAATGGCGACCATGGCAAGATGTGGCACTGGGGAGGAAAGAAGCAGGAGACATCTTTTACTTTTTCTTAGATTCTCTGCGTATGGGTGTTTTAGTTACATGTCTGTATGTGCACCACGTCCATGCTTGGTGTCTGTGAATATCAGAAGGGCGCATGGGATCCCTGGGACCTGGAGTCATGTATGGTTGTGAACAAATACGTGGGTGCTGGGAACAAAACCCAGGTCCCCTGCAAGAGCAGTAGTGCTCTTATCTACTGAGCCATCTCTCCAGTCCCCAGAAGACCACGTGCAGAGTAAATAAAAGAGCCTGGAGTGGAGTGGAAGTTGAAGCAACAGGTAGTATCTGGGGGGCCTCAAGCTTGGTTTGATGCAACCATGTTTGAAAGAAACAGTCATTTCTGCCAGCTCAGATAAGCTGCCACTGGCCAGTCACTTTCCTGTCAAACCCAATCCACAAGTGCCCTGGGTAGGATGTCTTGGGATGCTCTTGCCTAAGTCCCTATAAATCAAAGTATGACAGGGAGTGACTTCCAAACGCGGTGATATTGGCAGTTAGCCAGTCCAGCCTGAAGAGCTGCTCTGTAGTGTCTGGGGCTCTACTCCCAGGAACTGGAGGGATGGGAGTTCTCATTCTGTTGCCCTCATGAAAAGCGATGGTCACAGTGCCAACATTCAAGCCTTCTGAAGGTGGCAAAATCAGAAGCTGGCTCCTTCTTCCCCAGATAACCATCCTCTTCTGGTAGAACCTTTGTCTAGTGACCTTGACATTAAAATTCCTTCAAGTTTATATTGGTTAATTTCCAGGATGGTAATGGTGGCTTCACTGATATACCAATGGATCTGGAGCCATTCGGTATTGCCAGAAACAGAGGGCTCACACTCCGTGGCAGACTGATGCGGAAATGTGATTGAGAACTACTGTTTTTATGTGAGCGCTCCAGAGTCTGACCACATGCTATGCGGGCATGGGCACTGCTCACTGCACCGTCCTGAGCTATTTCCCCCCACGACCAGGTATCTAAAGGCAGATTCCAATGAGATTTTTTCTTTTATTTACTTACAGGCTGGGAATGAGATTTTCCCCACAGATAAAAATGGCAAACTTCTCATGAGTAAATCCACATTCTTGGATGCCTGGGAGGTAGGTTCCAACTTGTTTCAAGAGTGCTTAGGGTTGAAGTCTTGTGTCATGCCCCCTTGAGGCTCTGCCCTGGTATGAAATCCTCTGTATATAACTTCATGACTGTTCTTCTCCCTCTTCTCTTTAAAGTGGTGTGTATGGAGGTTCTTGTGAAGGTCAGAGGATGGAAGGAGGTTAATTCCTTCAACCAGGCAGCTTCCAGGGATAAAGTGAGATTGTCAAGCTTGGCACAAAGGACCTTTACCCAATGAGACATTTCCCTGGGCCCATGAAACACATTTAGGAGCAAAAAATACCTCGCTGTAACTCAGGCTCTCATAGAATCCCTGAGTACATCAATGCTGTGACAATTCTGTGGACCCATAACAAACCTCATCTAAACATCAGGGAACAGAATTCAAAAGAAGGAAAGAGAAATGAGTGTAAGGAGGGCAAGATGGATCATACAACCTACCCAAATCTGACCCAGGATACATAACATTCACAGTATCTCACTGCCCATTGGATTTCTTTTTTTTAAAAAAAGATTTATTTATTATGTATACAATGTTCTGCCTGCATGTATGTCTGGGTGCCAGAAGAGGGCATCAGAACTCATTGTAGATTGTTGTGAGCCACCATGTGGGTGCTGGGAATTAAACTCAGGACCTCTGGAAGAGCAGACAGTGCTCTTAACCTCTGAACCATCTTTCCAGTGCTTTCAGAGTCTTCCAAGTTGTATCCAAAGATGAGACAGGTAGCTTAACACACCCTACCTGTCCCTACCTTTAAGCCCTTGCTCCTCCTTCTCCCAACCTGTTCTTTATGTTTTGTTTTGTTTCTAGGCACAATTTAAACTCTCTTCCTAATGTCTTCCCTGGGTTCAGATGGTTTCTTTTTTATCTTCCTCATCCCTATGCTATTTGAACTGTCAAATGTTCTGAGGTAGCCCAGGACTGAGCTTTAAGAATCCCAAGCACGAAGCACATACATTGTATATGTTTACATTCTGGAAACAGACTAAAAACAGGAGATTAGAAAGACTGAATTACAAATTCATGTCCAATGTAAGGCTGCAAGTATCAGCTGGATAATCTTCTTTGTACCTTTAGAACAAGCTCATTGTATTTAAGTTATAAAGAAACCCGAGATCCCTAGGTTGATGCAGTTTGGGTTGGACAAATGGCCAATGGGACAGATGTCAGGTCATCCAAATCTAGGCTGGGTGCTCTGCCAGGGCCCATATATCTGCAAGACATTCCTACTGCACACACTTACAATCACAACAAGTTAGAGGTTGAGGCAGGAAGATCAAATTCTGTCTGGACTGTAGAGTAAGTTCAAGGCCAACCTGTCTAACTTAAAGAGATCCTATCTCAGAACTGAAAACTAGAAAGGGGGTGGAAACTAAAAGCATGGATCAGTGGGAGATTGCCTGTGTAGCACTGGAGAAGCCATAGACACAACCCTAATACTGTTAAAAAAAAAACCAGGCCATAGAGATGATTCCTTTCCTCACACTGTGGGCTATTTCCTGGATAACCCATGTCACTCTGGCCTTAGAGCAGTCAGCAAATCAAACCTTCACTTCTCCTTCTTGGTTATAGCTGAGCTGGGGAGGGGTAGAAAGCCTGGAACCAGCCATGCAGGCACCACAGTCTAGCTGGAGATTCCCTTTAGTGCTTCACTTGACCTTGTCACACGGGAGCCATTCCTCTTATCCAAGGACAAGGCCAACCCAGCATCCCTGTATCCTCCTGCAGCCATCTAACTGGTGTTTCTCACTGTGACAGGGCATGGAGGAACTGGTGGACCAGGGGCTGGTGAAAGCTCTGGGCATCTCCAACTTCAACCACTTGCAGATTGAGAGACTCCTGAACAAGCCTGGACTGAAATATAAGCCAGTGACCAATCAGGTATATTCCCTTTGGTGAAGGACCTGCTCTCAGGACTACTTCAACACTGGGAGGCAATTTCCTTACTAGCTACTGAGTCTCATCTCTGAGTTCTGGGTTCAGGATGCCCAGGGAGGTGGGAGAAAGATCCCTGGGTCCGTTTCATAACATATCTGTCAATGATTTGCATTTGGTCTTTGTTTGTCTTTTCTCATGTAGGAGAGTTCTTTTGACCACTCTGAAAGCAGGACTACTCCCCTAATAATGGCAATGTTTTCTTTTGCAGATTGAGTGCCACCCATATCTCACCCAGGAGAAACTGATCCAGTACTGTCACTCCAAGGGCATTAGCATCACAGCTTACAGTCCCCTGGGCTCACCAGACAGACCTCAGTAAGGCTCCAGAGTGGTAGCTCTTCTATTACTCTTACAATTGGGATTGCATAATTTAATATTAGTAGGTAATTTCCAAGACACAAGGAGAAACGTATCAATGGCAATGTGCTTGACAACCCATCTGGTTTTACCAGGGTAAAGTGTTTTTAAAATGGTAGCATATCTGATCCCATGAAATGCCCCATTTTTGCCATCCAGTACTAGGGAAGTTTTCTTAAATTGCTAAAGCATTGGACCTATATATGAACCCAGGGGAAAGACACAAAATTTTCAGATCAGCCCACCTGCCTTGCAGAAGAAGAAGGCTGCAATGCTCAGCTTTGACCCAGACCAGGGAGTGTTGCTCACTGGAACGTAGCCGCAGTGGTTTTTCACGCCAGCCATCTCTTTTCCCCTAGTGCCAAGCCAGATGACCCTGTAGTACTGGAGATTCCCGAGATTAAGGAGATTGCTGCAAAGCACAAGAAAACTGCAGCCCAGGTAAAATAGAGTGCTTTTTCCCTTCTCAGCAGCAACTCACTCTTGTAGTCACGTATTTACCCGTATTGCTTTTTTTTTTTTTAATCTCTTGGAGAGGGACAAATGGGATCATAAACCCATGGGAAGTTTCAGAAAATTAAGCTGGTATCAAGGAAGGAAGGACTGCCTCTGTCCATCAGCTTCCTGCCACATCCATAGGTTTTGGGTTCAGGTGCCGATTATATAGGGTCTTAGCCTTATGATCATAGGCTATCTTCCTCATTCCTGACTAGGAAGATCGTAGTGTTGTTTCCTGGATCAAGGGACATAGCAAGGGAACTGGCAAATGCCCCTAATACTGAAGTGCCTTCTTAATGTCAATTGTTGTTGGACTTAGATAATCTCACAAGCAGGAGGAGTTCTTGTATATAACCAGACACGTGCCTTCTCTTCATGATTCACAGGTTCTGATTCGGTTCCATATCCAAAGGAATGTGGTGGTGATCCCCAAGTCTGTGACACCGTCCCGCATACGTGAGAACTTTCAGGTATGGTCTGATATTTTTCAGTGGGACAGGTGATGGGGAGGGAAGGAGGGTCCCTGTCCTTCAGCATCTCCTCCCATCCCTTCGTTGTCAGTGTGTCTTCCCTTGTTCTAAGCACTTTATCAACGTCTAGGCCAGAGAGCTGGCCCCCACAGAGCTGGATGATCACCAGTGGGTCACGGATGGACTGGGGTGGGTATCGGCAAAGCCCTGTCAGGACTGGTCACAGCTATGCCTTACACCATGGCTGATCACAGCTTATACCACTGAGTGGTGCCTTACACCACCGAGCAGACCACTGCAAACCACCGAGTACTTAGCTCATCGGCCAGTCATTGTCCTGGCCAACTATACACTGTCTTGGTCTACTCACCTATGTTTTGTAGATATAGGGACTGGATTTGAAAAAGAGCCCTTCTGAAATGCCTCAGGAATCATAGTCATTGTGCATACTTCACACCCCTACAGCCAAATCTCTTCCAATCTTAGAACACTAAACTCTATAAATAATTTACTCTTAACATGTTTGCCATGGACATATTCAGGGAAACATCTGGAACCCCACATCCCATCAACACTTTCCTTGCTAAGGATGTTTTTTGAATCTTTCTAGGTCTTTGACTTCCAGCTGAGTGATGAGGAGATGGCCACCATTCTCAGCTTCAACAGAAACTGGAGGGCCTGTGGTGTGTTTGCGTAAGTGGCACCAAGTTAAATAGGAGGTTAATCAGGTCTTTATCTAAGGTTGTAAAGGATAGTAGGAAGGAACAGAAGGCATGAGGGATTGTGGGATGTCGTTCGTCTTGAAATACTATTTTAAGGTTGTTTTAAAAAAAAATTAACATTTGAGTCGTGGGGAATCATTAGTAGGAGAGACATTATTTGATGCCCATTTTCTTAATTTTACACACAGAGCTAGGACGTTTAAGAAAGGAATTGTTACAACTACGTGGGAGTCAGAAGTTCTCATTCCCTTCCTCATTCATTCAGTAACTTACTGCAATGTGCTATGGCCAGGAATGGTCTAGATCGTCAGGGCATCACACTACAAACTTCCTGTTCTCAGTCTTATATTCTAGAAAGGGAAAAGTGTGCTAACACCAAATATGTATGTCAGACAGTAACACATGCTACAGAACAGTAAAATGGGGCAGAAGGCAGAGGCAGTAGTGAGCCCTGTGTGATAACACTTTAGTACATGGTTATCTCCGGAGGCTTCATTGATAAAATGACAGCTGAAGAGGGTGAAGGATGAATGGCAATCAGGAAATAGCATTCTTGACAGTCACAGCCACTACTGCAAATGTCCTGAGGCAACAGGTTTTGAACTTGGGTTAGGATGCTATTGAGAATACAGTGCATTGACAGGGTGTTATTGTAAGAAAAAAGGAAGTTGGAGACAGCGGTGGGTTAATATAATATAATGTAGGTGATATCGACCATGTACAGGGCTTAGAGTTTTAGGTCTGAAGGAGGGAGAAGCCATGAGCATAGGCTGGCATGACCTGGCATGCCTTAAAAGATTCACCAAGACCTGTGCATCGAGAGACTATTATAGTAACCCATGGGAAAGATGCGAGTCATTGGACCCAGAGCATGGTGTGGGGGAGGAAATGATGAAGATTACAATCTAGATAAATGGGAACACACAGTCCATTCAATTTGCCAAAAAAAAAAAAAAATTTAACAGTTTAATACAGTTTTTATTCCTTTGTTTTGTTTTTGCTTGAGCAGCTCAAGTACAGAATTAACATTTTGGGAAAGTCCAGGTTTTAAGATGTGTTTATTATGCCAGTGGGGTAGCAACTCAGAGTGTGTGCGGAGCTAGAGGATTTGGTGGACTCCTAAGCCAGCCTAGCTGGGTCCTAATCCAATCTCTACCACTTACTCACCACAGATGAGGCCTGGGGCAGTTTCGATGTCAAAAAGTCACTCTATCTACAAAGTCAGATGACGGTATTAATTACAGCAAACATTCACTGAACACCAGCTGAAATAGAGCAGACACTTTAAGCTCTTTGCTTATATTAATTTTATTTAATAATCACAACCTATCTGTCCATTTCAATAGTATTTCCTACTTCATGACAATGTGAGAATTTGAGACAATAGTTCTGAGGCCGTCGGCTGTGTGCCAGCTTGCTTATGATCCCTCATTATGGCAATGTACTGGTGATGAGATGAGATGGTTTGCAGGCCCTCCTTCCTTTATAGTCTTCTCGTACTTTTGGGGGGGGTCATGTTGTGTGTCTCCCCACCCCCACCATGTCCTGTGTCCACAGTCATGTTGGGGAAGAGATTGAAAAACACGGGGAAAGCTGAATACACCATACAAGAATGCCTCCCATCATATTTTTGCTTCTGTGGACCATTTTCTCCTTCATGTTTGTTACTGCAGCGCAATTAACGAAGAGGACTATCCTTTCCATGAGGAATACTGACGCTGATTCACTTGATGAGACTGCCTGGTGAATCCCATCTTCATGGTGTGAAAGTCACTCCTGACGCCTGTCTTAGCCAAAGTGTGTCTAACGTCACCCGGGTCAGGCAATGCTGAATTCAGTCCAGGAGCAGACTGTCACAGGAAAACAAAGGACAATGGTTTTCATTAGTGTGTTCTGACCAAATGTTTGTTAAATACCAGGAATTCTGGTAACACTGAGAATACAAAGACAAAACAATAAAAAGTAAATAATAGTAAGGCTTGTAGTGTGCTGTGGGACAATGGTCTTTTATCCTGTCACTTGTATTATTTTTAATAAAACACTGATTGGCCAGTAGCCAGGCAGGAAGTATAGGCAGGGTGATGATGACCAGGCAGGAAGTAGAGGAGGGGCAATGAGAACAGGAGAATTCTGGGAAGAGGAAAGCTCAGCCTGCAGTCATGACCCAGATGCAGAAAAAGCCAAATGTGACTGCCTCACCGAGTAAGGTACCAAGCCATGTGGCTAGCACAGACAAGAATAGTGGGCTAATAAGTTATAAGAGTTAATAAGAAGTCTGAGCTACTAGGCCAATCAGTTTTATAATTGATGTAGACCTCTGTGTGTTTCTTTGGGACTTGACTGTGGGAACTTGGTCAACAGTAGTATGCTGTCTGTTGCTGTGATAACCACCAGGACCGAAAGCAACTTGTAGAGGAAAGGGCTTAATTGGCTTCCATGTTTCAGCCACACTCCATCATGGAAGGAAGTCATGGCAGAAACAGAGGCAGGAACTGAAGCATTGACCATGGAGGGATGCTGTTTACTGGCTTGCTCCATGGTTTATTCAGCTTGATTTCTTATAAGCTCAGCACCACCTGCCCAGGGGTGGCATTGCCCACAGAGGCCTGGGCCCTCCTATACCAATCAATCATTAATCAAGAAAATCGTCAGCTATCTGATGGAGGCAATTCTTCAACCGCGGTTCCCTCTTCCTAGGTGAGTTTTGTTGGTATCACATTGACAAAACTAACCAGCAGTCACCAAAGTGTCCAACACAGTTCGAAATGCTTTTTAATGAGTGAATTCCGTGCCTCCAAAATCTCACAATTCACATTTTACAGAAAAGAAAATAGAGGCATCTGGGAGCCAAAAACCTGATGAAGGTCCCAGGTAACAGGTGGCTAAGCCAAGTTTCAAAGAAAGGTGTTCTCAGGGGGAGTTCAAGGTAATTTGATGCCTTCCTCCTCCTGAGCCTTGTCCTGGTCCCTTCCCTCCACTTTTGCCTGTGACTTTCCACCTTGTCTGTAATATGCCATCATGCCAGAGTTGGAGATGCTGGCAGCAGTGCCTGGGAAATCCACCAAGGTGCGTTCTGTTCACAGAGAGAAGGAGGGAGGGAGGGAGGGAGGGAGGGAGGGAGGGAGGGAGGGAGGGAGGGAG